GTTAGAGAGAAACACACATCGGCTTACTGCGTAGGAGGATAGCTTCGGCAAATCGGAGCAGGTAAGGCCGAGGGGATCGATCGGATGCTTGGAAACATCGGATAAAATGGAACGTTTCGTTGGATGAATTTTGTTTTCGATGGGAGTGGAGTCAAACCGAAGTTGGTCGGTTCGGGGTTCCCAACTGACACCAAGAGCTTTGATTGGTTTCTCGGGATCGAGTTTCAGGAAAGCTTGAGTTTCAACTTGGGACGGATCGAGATCTTCCAAAACTTGCGGGTTACTCGAGGACCATTTTCGTAGCTTAAATCCACCTTTCGCCAGTAATTCGTCCAGTTCCTTCCTAGTCTGGATTGCTTCTTCGATGGTTTGGGCGCCTCCTATGTAATCGTCGACGTAGAAGTTCTTGAGCAATGCGGGTCCTCCTAGTGGATAATTCTGCCCTTCGTCTTCGTAAAGTTGCTTGAGGGTACGAGTGGCGAGAAATGATGAAGATGCCAAACCGTAGGTCACCGTAAGCAGTTCACATATTTCGATGGGACCACCAAGGACAAAGCGCCAGAATATTCTCTGCAGGGTAGTGTCTTTAGGATCGACTAAAATTTGGCGGTACATTTTTTCAATGTCTGCGACAAGTGCAATTGGGTACTTGCGGAAACGAAGGATGAGGGCGAGTAGTTCGTCTTGCACTACCGGCCCTACCAAGAGAGCATCATTCAAGGAGTATCCAGATGATGAATGTATCGATCCATTGAACACAACGCGCACTTTCGTTGTCGTGCTTGATTCCTTCACGACAGGGTGGTGAGGAATGTAGAATGCCTGAGAAGGCTCGGGCTCGCTGCTTGGAACGATTCGCAAGTGGCCCAAGGATTGGTATTCGGAAAGGAAATTCTGGTACTCCATTTTCAAATCAGGATCTCGATCTAGACGTTTTTCAAGCGACATGAACTGACGCAAGGCGACTGTTTTCGACTCACCCAGCATTGGATCAAAATCGGGGTGACGTGGTAAGCGAACCATATATCTACCATCGTGTGTGCGGGTGACGTTGGAAACAAAATGCGACTCGCATTGTTGTTCTTCAACAGAAAGGTTTGGTGTGTTGCTAACTGCTTCCATTTTCCAGAAACGTTCGACGGCGTCTTGAAGCGGATCTGATATGGACACGTGACAGGTGGTGACAGGTGGAACTGACGTTGGCATCTGATTTCTCCCAACAACAATCCAACCGAATACACTCTCGACGAGCATGTGCTTCTGATCCTGTTCAATTTTGGTACCAGGATTGACAAAGGTGTAAAAGTGCTCTGCTCCTAGGAGCAGATCGATTGCTCCAGTCTTATTGAAGCTGGGATCGGCAAGGAATAGGTCTTGTGGAATACGCCAGTTTCTAGCTGGAAACGTCACAGCAGGCAAGTCTATCGTGATGCGAGGTAGAACGAGGAAGTCGAGGTCGATTTCAAAATCATTTTTCCTTGAGCGAATGGAAGAATGAACGCTATGTTTCACGTTGGACGACGCTTCACCAACACCGTGAAGGGGAACGTTCACATTTCGGCGCCTTAGCTTCAAAAGCTGACAGAATCTCTCGCTCATTATGTTAGACTGAGAGCCACTATCTAACAATGCACGTGCAGGGTGCGTATCACCGTTTGAATCGACGACCAAAAGTACGACGGTGGACAGCAAAACATTCGAATTGGAAAGTGGTGTGGGGTTGCTGAGTTGTTGACTGGGGATGGAGTTCGTGCATGTGTAGGTGGTAGAGGAGACTGGAGCGTAGTTTCGATTTGATGATGGCCTAGACGGATGAAGAGCTTGGTTGTTAGGGCGTTGCGCAGACGAGTGGCTAGGAGCTTCGTTGTAGTTATTAGTGGTGTGCAGCATGGTATGGTGTCTTCTCTGGCAGTGTCGGCAAGAGTATGTGGATTGGCAATTTCGGGCAAAGTGATCGTGGCGGAAACAATTTTGGCACAAACGGTTGGTATCGATTAGTCTTAGACGGTCAGGAATACTCATCCTCTCGAATCGGGGACATTTGATGAGAAAATGACGTAGATTGCAAGCATAGCATTTCGGCAACTGGTCCTCCGAGACAGTGTGGGTGGCAACTTTGTGCGGAAATGGCCTTCTATTGGAAAGGAACTGATTCACTGGTGTGTGAGAGTTTTGCGACTGGTGGTTGACGGACATCGACTCAAGTACTCGGATCCTACGTTGGAGAAATTGTACGAGGCAAGCGTAATTAGGATCATCGACGGTAGTGGCGTGATCTTCCCATGCTTTGAGGGTTCCATCGTCAAGGCGAATGCACAGTAGATGCTCAAGAATCGTACTCCATTGGTCAACAGGTTCCTCTAGGTGGCGGAGAATTTTGGTATGGCGTTCAAATTCATCCACTAGGCTATGCAAAGCCTCGGCAGATTCCCTTTTCATGCGAGGGCAATCCAAAATCGCTTGCAAGTGACGTTTTTTGAGCAAGTAGTCGTTTGCGTAGCGTGAAGTCAGCGTCTGCCAAGCGATGGAATAGTTGGCAGAACTGATGGAGATCGATTCGATTAATTGTGCCGCTTCACCCTTAACGGCAGCACGGAGGTAATGAAACTTTTGTACGTCGGGGACATCAACGTTGGCGTGAATTAGGGCAACAAAAGTATCATGGAAAGTCAGCCATTGATTGTAGTCGCCATCGAACTCTGGCAACGAAATGGTGGGAAGCTTGATGCCAGATAACCCAGCAGGGGCAGGGATTGCGCTTTGAGTCGGTATAGGGTTGGCGGGTAAGGAGGATCTCAGAGCAGCCATTACTTTGAAGTATAGGGATTCGAATTTGTAACGGGTTTGGTTGTTCTGTTCCCTACCTTCATTGGTGGTCTCTTCATCTTCAATTTTCGACTGAACATCCTCCAGTTCCGTCCACACGTCGTTTAGGTTCTCGATGCGTAGCTGCACCTGAGCTTGGTCTCGATCGGCCTGGTACTTTGAAACGAACTGGTCGGCTCTCCACATTGATGCTGTTAAGGCGGTGCGACGGTTCGTAAGTTGTAACATCCGTTGTTCGTCCATGGCGGTGCGGTTGGAACGCGATGTAGCAAAATGGCGGTTCTAGGTGGAAGACACACAAAAAGGACCCGGTAGAACCGAACAAAAGGATTGGGATGGTTGGAATACTACTAACCTTTTCAAGGCTAGGATAATGCCTTGTATTTTATTGATAGAGCACCTATGATTGGAGCAGGTAAGCGGGTGGCAGGATGGCGGAACGGATGATAACGACGGCGGTAGCTTGTTGGATGATTTTCTTGACGGGCGGGGGTACCCCGTTTTACGGTACACTAGATGGTGGCACTTCGCTTCACAGTTGGAAATCCTCGATGAGCGGACGGAATAGCGTGTAAAGAAAATCGGAAAAATCTCAAGGCACCCGTGGACAATATCTGCGCACTATGGAATTACACGTACCATGTGCCTGAATCAAATAGGCCTTGTATTAAATTAAATCTCGAACAGCAGGAACATATTTCAATCTCGTATTCTTATTCGGCAAGGATGGCGTCGGTTGCACTTGGAACGATGGCGGAAATTCAATAGCACTAATTTTGTATGATGGCGGTTGGCGTCACTCGGAACGCGGACACAATGGCGAATTGGAAACCGAATCCTGGTCATGGCACCAAAATGTTGGGGCAGGTTCGTGATTTCCGTTAAAAATTTAACCGTCGGGAAAATCAAATGTGCACTGTAACTATGCTGAGTGGGGGTGTGAGCATGGGCTAACACTCCAGTTGATTCTTGCACCGAACTTTTAGGTTTGCGACTAACCGCCACTAGGAGTCACTTCTTCTTTTGAAAGGAAACACTTTGCAACTTGGATTTTGATTTATTAAGTTTTAACTTGGGATACACTTTAGGTCTGGTTTTTTGGATAGCTCAATTTGGAATGATTTATTACTAATAATTCAATTAACTCTTAACCTAATTTGCTACTACTACTAACGTAATTAATTTTTACTCTACTTATTTCCAGTACTACTACATTTGTATAGCACTCATTTGTAGTACCAGAATGGTGGGTTCGGCGCGAATCTATAAAATAGATTTGGAAACTGGTTGAGAACAAACACATACTTTATTTCACAAAAATGGTACAGGCATCGAAAGCTTTCAATTAATAACTGTGGAAGTGCATCTAGAAGAACACTAAGTTAGAGAGCACGCGATAAGCTAATAGTCGATAAGCAATAGGCTTGAAATGCGATGAAGAAAGAGAGAAGATATTCCAAAGCATGGAGAAAGCAGTGAAGCAAAGCACAGGTCTGATATTCGCATCGTTCGTGGTTCAAGCCAGTCGGCAATATTTATTTTTAAATTATTTTTTTTTGACGTTGTTCTAATACACTCCACATTTTTCTTTCTCCATTTTCTTGCATTGGACCGCAGCTCGGTATATCTCATCCTCCATTCATGCGGTCTCCACTGCGAAGATAAATCCTTCATTATTGTTAGCAAGTCTAACATCCCCTGGTTGGGTGTATATTTTTCAGGGAAAAATATTTTGCTGAAAAACTGCGGTTTACTTAAAAAAGAAAACTCCATCGTAATAACATTTAAACTGCACAGATTTTTATGAAACTTTGATCAGTAAGTTCTAGTTCTATCTGAACAAGTTTTGATAGAATTCGTGCAATCGTTCGTGACAAAATTGAAAAAAAAATATAACAAAATACTTGCAGAATGAAAAAAAATGCGAGCAGAGGGTTAATAAAAATATTCTTGATCCTACAACCAGCTTTTGACAAGCAGATGTCACTTAATCAGTGCAAGAATCATTCTATGAACCTCAACTACAATAAAACAACCGACTTTTAGAACAAATCACGTCCCCATTATCAGCACACAACCATAGACACGTACAACTTCTGATAAGCGCATTCATTCCCATTCTAATAATTTCAAACCGTCCTTCGAGAATCAACTCCAATCAGTTCATCGTCAGAATGATTCCACTACGGACCACAATCGCTCTGCTGCTCCTCGTAGCGGTGACGGCATCTCTTATCACCGGCGCCCTAGCCGTGGCTTCGACTACTTTCATCAAACTGAACTGTGAAACGAAAAATCGAGTGTGCTACCTGAAGAACATCTACGCAACCGAGGACGACCGCTTCAAGGATGTGTACAATGCCGAGCATAGCGATATCATCGAGTTTTTCGACTGTCACATTCACACGCTGCCGAAGATTCCGTTCATCAAATCGGTCGAAGCGAAAGGCATCAACTTGGTGAAGGTGGTTGAGAACACTTTTTCGACCATCCAGCATCTGGATGTGTCGTACAACCGGCTGAGGGATATTTCAACGAAGGCTTTCGAATGGCCCGCAGAACTTCAGACGCTGGTAGCTAGCGGGAACCCATTGTTGAAGGATTTGAGCTTTCTGAAGGCACTTATTGGATTGATGGATCTGCAGTTGTCGGATATGAAGCTGGATTTGGATTTCATTGATGTGGATATTTTTTCAGGGATGAAGCTTCTGAAAACGTTGACTATGAGTAATAACAAGATCGTGACCGTTCCTGTTGGGATATTCAACAAGTTGGAGTCTTTGGAAAAACTGGATCTGAGTAAGAACTACATTTCGAGAATATCTTCGGGGGCGTTTATCATAAACTTCCGAACGATTGATCCGGAAATCGAACAGCGTCATCAATTGACGATCAATTTGGCCAGCAATAATATTTCTATTATCGAGAAGGAAGCATTCATGATCGTAGATATGGTTGATTTAAGCGATAATAAATTGATCGGAATCAGCCCCACGGCCTTCTACAACAAGTCGGAACTGGGAACACTGATTCTCTCCAACAACAGACAGCTGAAGAATTTCAACTTCCTAAAAAGCCTGCCATCTCTGCATACTCTTACCATGGCCCATATGAATTTCACTTTCAATGGCATCCCACTGGACATTTTCAGCGAGTTGGATCTTCTCACAACGCTGGATCTATCGTTCAACGATATTTCGCAGCTGCCCATCGGGATATTTTCCGATCTCTCATCGTTGAATTTCATCAATCTACGCCACAACCGGATCTCTCACGTCGAATTTGGGACCTTCTCCATCCGCAAGTACGACCTCATCGATGAAATTGATCTATCCTACAACGACATCACCGACGTCAACTACCTGGTTTTCGTACCCTTCAAGTATCTCCGCACGTTGCTGCTCCACGGAAACCAAATCACCTACGTCAACGCCAACCACCTGAAGCGGAACAAAAGTCTCCAGAACTTTGGCATCCAACACAATCCGATCCGTTGCTCGGACCTGATCGACCTGCTGGCCATCTTCAAGCTGGTTCTCGATGGAAGAGAATTTGTCGCCCATGAACCCAATATAGATGGAATTAAGTGTAACCCTTGAACAAGATTGCAAATAAACTTACCGATTTCGAAGGCATTTGAGATTCTTGTTTGTTAATATCGTTAAGCTGACACGTGCCAGGCCAGTTTCGAAGGCGGTAATTGGTGATTTTTACTTAAATTTGACAGATATAAAATGTTTAAATTGACCTGCTTTAGGACTAGATTTATTTCATACCGATCAGGAATCAATTTGGATAATCGGACGATCAACAACAGAGGAATTTTCGAACATTATAATTTAATTTAGAAGTGTCCAATTTAAGTGGAAATTCACCAAATGGAACATAGCATAAGGCGCAAGCAAGCACCGATATTACAGTGTCAGTGGATTGTGGAAGTGGAGTGCGTTGAATTTACCGAGCAATTTAATTCATTATCGATTTTCCTCATATTCCGGCAGTTTTTCCTAGAAAAGCCCGAAAAATTCAATTCGTTTTCGAGTAAATTCGCTTCCTACGAAATTGACTCGACCGTACGGCTCATTATTCGAAACAAAGAAGGCAAAGGGGTACGGTACACCAGCTCTTTTCTCATCCTAATTGACATGCCAAACCTTTCCGTAGTCGTTCGGTCGAGTGAGTAACCATGTCGTTTTCGTTGTTGCTTGAAGACGGTAGGCGATGGCGATGATGGAGCAAAAGGAATACGCATGTTCCCATGTTCCGTTTATGCAGCGATTTTTTTTCCGCAGCTTGCTGTTACAGTTTGTAGAAAGGATCTCATCGCTCAACCGACGACGTGAACCAATTATGGTACGGGGGGTGCTTGAATGGTAGTTGGTGCTGATTTATTCATTTTGCATAAATCACTGATTAATAGGCTTTCGTTATTCTTAAACAGGATCAGCTAATCAATAATTAAATAGCTCTTATAAAAACTTGGTCAGAGTTAAAACTTTAAAAATAAAACCAAATTTCTTATGTCATTTTCATGCTACATGCTGTACTACACCGGTATAGTGAAAAAGCGTTCCTTGAATTATTCAGGATGTATAGTTAATAGCTTCCATGAGACAACAATGTGTCGTATACGCCATTATGGTAAATTATCGTTATTTTTTTTATTTTCATAATCGGTGCAAGAACTTTCTTCTTCTTCCTGCCCATTGGAGGCGAACCAGCCCAAGGCTAAAAGCCTCCCTAATAAAGATAAATAATAATAATAATTCTTCCTGTCCTTGACACTATTATAGAGCGTCCCAGAAAGTATAAGCATGGTTTGATATGTGTACACCAAGGGATGGTCACTCTACACACTTATTTTGCGCCATTTTTTTTTCAGTGTGCCTCAGTGTGCCACAGCTGTGCCGGTAGTGCCGAGAACTCATGATGGAACTGACTTTTGTTTGCTTTTTAATAATGTTTTTGTTTTGTTTTTCGAAACCTGAGATGACCCGGGTCTAGGAACAACATTTTTGTTCTAAGATATGGACCTTGCGTGCAGCGTTTCCAGATAAACCGCTTTATCGGTATTTATACCGATTTCCGAACTAGATACCGATATACAGATAAGGTTCCCTAGAATACCAATTTTTGAGGTTTTATACCGATTTATACCGATTATGATTATTTTCTGCTCGAGCTCGAGTTTCTGAGAAAATTATTGTGAACGACTCGTATCTTTTTGAATATTTCACATTTTTTGAGCCATTAAAATTAAAAAAAAATCATCCTCAAAAATGTTTTATGGATACTCTGGCGATTAATGTTTCAATTTCCTCACCGTTTTTGACTACCCATGAATCGATAAACAGTCGATGGCTTTTTCTGGTAATTCCGAGGGAATCGGGAAATACTTTTTAAACACTATTTAACTTTCTGAATTTTCTTCCAACTTTCTGAATTTTCTTCCACCTTGCATCGTAAATTTTTTTTTCGATTCCTATTGGAAACTTATTTCGACTTCCCTTGGAAGTTTCTTCCGTCTTCGCTCGAATGATTCTTCCATCTTGTCCCGCCAGATTTGAAGATTTTAATTGCGGATCCACACTAGGTGCAGGAACTTTTAAGATATTCTAAAGCTTCAGAAAAGTCCAGACTTTTAAGCAAGTTTCGATAAATTAAAGAATGTTTCAATAACTTCTGTTAAAATGCTAAGACCCGGTACAGCAAACTCCAGTGAACTTAAGGAAACATCATAAATATTTTGGATACTTCACAAGTCCAAAGAATTTCCGGAACATTTATTGGTTTTCTGGACAGTTTAGTTTCATAAGAATTAAAATAACATTAGGAAGCTACGAGAACATCAGAACAGATCAATAAATTTCAAGGAAATCGCTGAAATTTTAAAGGAGTTCCGAGAAACTCAGGCGATTTCCAAAATCTTCTGCAATGTTCCGAGGGGCTCATGCAAATTTAAGAAATGTAAGGGAAGTTACATGAACATTAGCACATTGTGAGTTCATTTTATAGGAAGTTCCGTGTTTAGTAATGGCAGTGTTGATAACTTTTAAAAATTAGAAAAATTGGAAAGATCAGAGAGCTTCAATGCTGATGTTACAATAGAAAGATAGAAAATTGTGAGAGCGCTTAAGAAGTTTCGTAATCTTTAAGAAAGTCTAGAGACCGTCAATATTGATAAGAGATATTCCGGTAGTCTCATTATAATCAGGGAAGTTCCAAGTATTTCAAAGATGATCAGAGTACCGGAAAACGGAGTAACAGTGATAGTTTTTTAAAGTATATTCTAAATATTTTTCACAACAATTCTTTTTTTATGAAATTTTATATTTTTAAAACAAGTACTGAGGATCCAAGAGTCAATTCGTAAGTAATATGTTGAACGAAAATTAAAGCATTTGCACTATTTTTTTAAGTATTGTGACCGAACTTCCGAACCGTATTTGGATTTGGGGTTACTTTGATAATGCTCGATGAATGTAGAAAAAAATGAGTGAAACTCAAACAATTTAGTTCTTTAAATATGAAACTTTGAATGAGTATATAATCAGAAAACTTCATAAGCAATAAGAATACAACATTAAATTTGTGATGGTTGTATCGGAAATACATTTCATAAGTGATATTTGAGTGCTTTTTCAATAAGGCGGAAAACACGAAAATATTTTTTTAATATTTTTGTAAAATATGTAACACATACTATATAAAAACTATATACCATATCAACGAAAATACCCTAAGCTACAATATGGAACCAATGTTTTTTATTTGGAAAAAGCACAGCGAGTAAATTTATTCTTTATATTATACTATCAAAGTTACCCGCATTATCAAAGATACCCCGTTTTACGGTACTTCAAAACAGTCCAATCAACTTAAGGAAAATTACAAGAACTTTTTAGGTATTCCGAGGAAACATGGAATATTCCTAAGTACATTTCAGGAATGTTCCAAAAACTTCAGGGGCATTTCGGGGTCTTCAGGGATGTTTTATGACCATTTGGAAACATTTTCTTCCGGAATTATGTCCTTGTTTCTTTCGACAGTTCCGTAAGCGCTCTGGCTTCCGACTTTCTCCAGATTTTTTTTTTTTTTTTTCAATCTACCTTAGGAAGTTTCTGCCAGCGTCTCCAGGAAGTTCAATTAAACTTCTCCCAGAAATTTCTTTCGTCTAGTGCTGGAATTTTCTCCAGTTGTTTTTTTTTTTTACTTCTATTGGAAGGTTTTTCCGAGCTTCTTCTGGCTTCCCCTCGAAATGGCTACTTCTGGAAATTACTTCCGATTTCCGAAACTTGTCTGCCTTCCTTTAAATGTGAAATCCAATGTTTTGCTGAAAGTTTCTTTAAATTTTCGCCGAAAGTTCCTCAATTTATGTCCTGGAAGTTCCGCGGATGTTTTTTTTCCAATTTTCTCAGAATTTTCCTCAAATTTCCTCCAGGAGAGCTTCTTTCTTCTTTCTCTGGATGTTGTTTTCAGCTTGCTCCAGAAGCTAATTCAAACATTCCCCGGAGTTTTCTTCCGGAATTTTCCGATCATAGTCCAAAAGTTTAAACTTTTTTCAAAAACGACAAGAATATAAAATTAATTAAAAAAGTAAATACCGACAAATACCGATTTTTTAAAACCTTTGATACCGATAAGCTTTAAAACATTCTGGCAACGCTGCTTACATGTGAAGTTTCACTTAGTACGAGTCTACGTTGAGTGAAGAAAAGTTCCAGGTTTATCAACAGCGCTTTTTATCGTAGGCTGTCCCGAGTGATAAGTAAAGCATAGTGAGGTGTCGCGACATTTTTTCAACCCTTCCCTCCTCTTTGCTTGCCCGTGTGTGCTAGTGAACAAAGCTCAATTTCAATTTCAACGACCGACCAGCCCATCTGGGAGCCGGTGGAGGAAACGGATTTGCACCGAATTTTTCACCTCCCGAGTTTCATCCGTCGGAAAACTGGAAACCAACACCGGCTGGAACACACGTCGGACTGATGAAGGACGCACCACTGACCCGAAACGCACCAGCCAACTTCATTCAGCCGGCACAGCAACAGGATGAAGTGATGATGGTCTACGGACAGCCAACACCTATAAATCTGTTCTGCCTGTACGGAAATGTTGTCGGGATAAAGTTCCTGAAGATCAAAAAGGGTACCACCATGGTCCAGATGGGAGACACCATCGCAGTCGAACGCATCATCCAGCACTTGAACAACATTCCAATCGGAAATGATGGTACCAAAATTCAGATTGCATTTTCCAAGCAGAACTACTTGTCATAGTCCACCAAACCATACACCTGAACGTTCATACTCCGGATTGGTCGAGTTCCCGAGTGTATCCCTGTCGGTGAACGTCATCATGAAGTTCAACCACAGCGCGATCGACCACAAAGGCACAAAAATCCCGTTCATTATGAAGCTGTGCTTCTCCTCGTCCAAGACGATGAACGGTGCATGGAGCAACAAGAACATCGGAAACATGGGCATGAGCATGGCATCGGCACCTGGCAACCCAATGTCGGCAGTGGCCGCGACAGTCTCCGGTGGTGGGACGCTCATTTCGATGACGTGCAGCTGTCTCAAAAACGATAAACAAATGTAAGATGG